CCCACCCCCCACCACCCCTGGAAATTTGGAAACCCCCCAGATAGGTCTCTGGAACTGCTCATTTACTTCAAATAAATTGAGGTATCTTCCATCTTCGCTAGCCAAGTGTTCGCTTCGTATACACTCCACTCCGGTCCGGGATTATTTTAAAAGTGTATAGTGTAAGTTTTAAGTATGTAAATTATATGTGCATTGGTTCGTCTCTAAGGTGAGAAATAATATTTATGAAGGTTGGACATTTTCTTGTTGATCGTTATTGACAAGCATACATGATCATATATCATACTACACGTATATACTGAATAAAATAATTGCTTCAGATCAATCGAATATATTTTCTGTCGATTATTATATTACATGATAGATCAAGATTAGCCAAAAGGCGTTGTTAAATTGACATAATAAACGTTTTTAAAGGGACGCCAAAATTAACCTACTTCCGTGATTCATAACCGATCCCATAAGAGACTATAAATAGAACTCATGACTAGAGGATCGTTATTGACAATCATACATCATCCATCTTCGCTAGCCAAGTGTTCGCTTCGTATACACTCCACTTACGTGTAGTGTATTGATCAATGTAACTCGCAACAATTTATGTAGTTATGTTGTATAAAAGGTTAATATTCTCACGGTGGAATATATTGATTAAATTGTTGAAATTAAATTGATGATTTTGTGTTTATTTCCACGAACTATATTTTTTTTTTGCCGGGAACGGTCGCGTGTACTCGCTATTCTCTCGTAACGTCACAAGAACGGGTCCCATTGACAGACAGCGCGGAATCTGACTTTGAAATGCGATAACAGGTTGGAAATATAAAAAAAAAAAATGAAAACGGAAATATAAAGATTAAACTGCCTTCTTTGGAAAGTTATTGTCCTATAATTCTCACAGGATTGCAGACAAATTGATCAAAACGCGCTTAACTATAAGCTTGTCTTTAGGATCGAGTTCCGTGTATACTAAACATAATTCAGGGTTTACAACTTATGTCCTTACTCCTTAAGAACAAAGTCAATTAAGAGTTTGGTTTACAGAACAGTTTTTTTTTCTTCATCTGATAACGCACATGTACTGAAAGAAACATGTCTAAGTAATAAACAGTAAGTCATAAACTCATGCAAGTTAATGTAACGTTTGGTTGTTTAATGTCCTAACACCAGCTTGTGTGTTGTGTATCACACGGGCCTGAGAATTTGTCATAGTTACATTTGGACCTTAACCTAGGTGTTCAGGGTATTTTTTACATGTTTTAGGGGTTTAGATCCGCTTTTGGTAAAATGACATCCAAATATAGCTGTAACAAAGTATCAGGTCCATGCGTTGTGTATATGCGTGCATGCATGTGTACCAACGGACTTAGATAACTAATATATATATAAGTCCGTGGTGTGCCGGAGACAGGGTCACGTCCGTCAACAGGATGTCGACCCCAGTATTCACCGAAGTGTTTCTGAAAAGTTCCACTTCAGTTTTTCTCTGAAGACAGGTCACGTAATCTCGTTTAACCACAGCTTGGGGATTGTATAACCGGGCCTAAAATGCATTACCCTTATTTAACAGAAGAAGAATGTTTAGGTCACGTAGGCATAATTCACACTTTAAATCATTTCCTTTTCCCTATTAGGTCGTTTAAATACACTTACAGAAGGAACAACGGTGGTGAGACACGTCTAGTGATAAGTCTACATAACAGGATTTATAAATGCGCTCTGAAGAATTTCCCAGAATTGCCACTAGATAATTTAAATGAACTACCAATGTTTATTCACCGTTTCGAACGCGGTTGATGCGTCACGGTTTTCTCTTATCTCTAGAGTCATACACTTTAACGGTGTATATGGAACGTGGGAAAAATATCGTTTTTGTGTGAGAACTTAACTTGTATCTCAAATTAATCTGATAAAGAAAAAGGAAGTCTCCACTGGTCCCAACGTACCAGCTATTGAAGTTTTGATTGTGTAATCAAACGCATACAAAGGGTACACGCGACCTATAATGTTCATAACTAATATGCTTTAGATATAAACTTTATCTATTTTACAACAATTATAAAACAAGTTATTTCAATTTGTATTTATTAATCACTCTTGTTGGCACGGATGTTAGCGCGGGATGGGGGGGTCTTTGTGTGGGAGGAAACCAGAGTACCCGGAGAAAACCTACGTAATCGAGCAGGTGACCCCATACCTTTTCACATCCGATCGGGGAAACGAATCCCGGCCGCCTTGGTGAAAGGCAAGTGGGCTATCCACTGCACCACCCGACCACCCAACCGAGCAAAATTCGACCACCACCCATATGCTACAATGGCATGTGAGATAGTTAACGATATTTTAATATAGGTATTAATTGACCTTGACACAAGATCTTGTAAAATTGGTTGGTTCTCGTATGTCAGGCCTTGTATTTGTAAATATGGCCACCAGTCGATGGAGATATCTTGTAGCAACAATTCATTTGATATGAAGGTCACCTATATGACTTGCTCCGTAACTCATTCCCTCCTCTTCAGCATACATGTAGCCCTATCAATATTCCATAGACTTTGTATAGAATAGTTTTGCTCGTTTAACTGATGTTAACGATAGGGTACCAAACGCATCATATTGTTGTAGACACAAATAGCAAATGTAGACAAGAAATGAAGCAATAACAAAACTATGTATATTTGTATCTAAAGAAAATATTGTAACGAAATTGCGTTTTTATTAGTTGTTTTTATAAAAAAAATAATTGTGCCAATTGTTGGCGCATATCCATCTTCCTGTGCAGGCTACGTGTTTTACATTTGTCAATAAATGGATTTAGAACGTAAATTCATCTCATGTCTTTGAAATGCAAGTACATGTACATGCATATTTTTTCCTGAATCCTTTTTCCTTACAACATTTCAGTCATCAGAATTTGAGACTTTAATGTTACGTTTAAAACAAACCAACATAACAAAAGGATTCAAATTTAGCCTAAGGGCCCCTCTGTGTGGGTACTTTCATACTGAAAACCGGTAAACAAATTAATGTTAGAAATAATGTTTCAGTAGATTTATGAATGGCA